TATTTAAAGTAAATAGCTACTTAGTTTTGCTGCAAAATCTTTGGAACAATTTTATGATACCACATGGCATTGTTTGTTCCAAGAGCAAATATTCAAGTCTTGAATGTTAACTCTGATAGGAGACAATTAGAAGTATTGAAGTACTCAGCTTTCCAGGCTACTGTACAACTAAATATAGGTCGTTGGGATACTGCCTGCCAATTAAACAAATGTCTCATTCTCAGTGCTTAAAAAATGATTTTGGAATTAATAAGGAAGAGTTGATGCAAAAAGAAGAAAAAAAAGGGGAAGGGAGGGGGGCTATCCAGCAGAAAAGATGAAATAAACATATATAAAATATCAGTAAAAAATATATGAAGAAGAAAAAAGGAAGCAGGGAGAGTGAGCAGGAGAGCAGGAGCAGGCCAGCTCAGCATCACAGACTTGCAAGTGAAATATGCCTCCTGATTTTCTGCTGGTGTGCTGTTCCATTCCATACGCATTTTCAGTATTTTCTGCCTTTTCTTCTGCAAAACTCCCAGAGAGGCAGAATGCTATAAACAAGCAATGTGGGATGAATTTCTCAGAGCATATATCCAGTCCACCACCTCTCACGACCCACATCTTGGCCTGACTCTCCTGCAAGATGGCTTATAGGTCCTGCTGTAGATCTCCTGCCTCCCTCCTGAGCAGAATCCCTGCAGCTCTCATGCATGCTCAGCAGCACTGGCATGGGTGCACAGCAAGCGCAGTGGTGTGCACTGCTGGCAAACCGTGGATGGCACTCTCAGTACTAAGTGGTACGTGATGTTTCATTTATAGTTGCCAGCTGGCTAATAGTAGCCAAATGTTTGTTGCAAAGAGCGAGTGAGAGAGAAAAATAGCCATATCCTTTGGCACAGAGAATAGTAATAATCCTCCTCCAGAACAGGCTGGCAGTGCTCGAGCCAGAGCCATCTTTTCAACTCTGAGACACTATTAGATTCTCCATCCTTCTCTTCTAAATTCTGTAGCAGATTGTTTGGGCTGGAGATAGATGGAGACAAGAGGTCCCATCTGGTACCAGTTCCTCTTTCTTCTCTATAATAGCTCTAGGTCTTTTCACAGTTCATATAGCGGAGGCGAAGAGTTGGAGAGGGGAGGGAGTGCCCCCAGGTACTCTGCAGGTCCATCATCTTTTTCTTTTTCTCTTGCATTTCCTTTCTTCCCGTTTTCTGCAGATAGGCAAGAGGCAACAAGCAGTTGCTCTCTGGTGTTCACGGCTCTATAATTCAGACCTGTCAATAGTTTCCAGGCTTGCTGCATTACTTCAGGGGGAACACACTACACTACAAGGGGCTAGACAAAGCTGAAGTGAAAAATAAGTTCCACAGCCAGGGATTAAATTTCACGTGATTTTTCTGTTTTTCCCACCCTTCCAAGACTAGTTGCCTTATTTTTTCACAAAACCTAGAAAAAATATTTTCATTATTTTATATTTTCAAGTCTTCTTTTTTCAAGTAACTGGCTCCACAGAGGACCAACCAGCATTCCCACCACCTCAATCTCAAGCCCAGTTTCTGTCAGCTTCTCCTGCTTTGTTGCACAAACAGGACTTCGTTGTGCAAGTCTCCATTTCTATACCAAGTATTTTCCATAAGCAGAAGGGATGGAGCAGATCTGAAAGATGTCTGTAAATATTTCAGAACTCTATCTTCCATTTCTGGTCTGGAGCAGATATTTGTCAGTCCTAGACAAATCTGGAGTCCCATTCACATTTTATATTGCCATTCAGAGATGACAGCTCACAAGAAATGTTCTGGTAAGGGCAGCAAGCTGTGGTCTACCCAGCTTTGCTGGAAAGCATGAGCCTAGAATAAGTATCATCCAGCAAAGAGCAGCCACAGCAGTGAGGATATCTCGGATTTTTATCTTAGGTTTTTCAGATGAACCCACAAAAACTTCTAGATGTACACTGTTTTTTAGGTTCAATATTCTCTTTTTCTATTTCCTTCATTCCAATGGGTTGAAATGATTCTACTGTTCATAGGAAGAGTCTAGACAGACTGAGAATTAGGCAAATTGAACAGCAGACAATTTGTTGGTCCAGAGCTGCTGCTTCCTTGTGCAAGATCTAGGTCTCCAGACCAGAGAAAAGGAGAGGGAGGGGCTGCACTGTTTCACAGCCTCCTTCTTTTTGTTTCTTTTTAAAACTGCTTTGTGTGATGGGGAAAAAATGTAAGAACCTATTTAATGTGGCAGAATTTAATTACAGCAAGGCATGGTTTCACTATGATTTCTTTAACAGTTAATATTGTGCACTAATTATTCATAAAGGACCTGAGACTCACTTAGATACATTTAAATTAAAAGATGAAAGACTGGGAACATATTTTATGAAGAGGAAATCTGAAACTATATCCTTCTCTCATGATGTTATCCTTGGAAAATAGATATTTAAATTATTTATAAGCTCTATAACAAATATTTTGGAAGAGCAAATCATTGTTGCAGTAAGAAAGGAAACAGAAGAGAAACAAATACAATTATGCTACAATTCAAGAAAATAATCTGATAGATGCTGAGTACATCCTGAGTAAAGCTGAATGCCCTAAGGTTTATTGGCATGGATGGAACTAAAAGTTTCTTACTGCACTGAAAGATCAAAATCCAAAAATATACCAAAACAAAATGTTTTGATCCTGAGATGGCAAAAGTTTTACACTGAACTCTTGATAGCTTCCTTTAATCAAGCGTTCAGCTGTATCTGCTATTATGAAAAAGTTTGAGGATGACTCCAACTTCTGATATTAAGTGTAAGCTTTTTTGTTTTCTTGGCTACTGTAGGTGTGGGAAAAGCACGTCCTTTATTTTCAACATGCATGGGATTACACTTATCAAAACCCTGGAGAAAGATGAGAAGTAATAAATCTACTGATAACAGTGTTTGATAGTGGTGAGAAACTAGCAAGTTAAATATCATATAAGGTGAGCAAGAGAAAGGAATGAATCCACATCCATACTTCAAGGGTGACTTAAAATCTAAACCAGTTCTCTGATTCTTAGGCACTTCTCCAGTACTCTTAATATTCCATTAAACTTAACCAATCTGACATGGTTGAGAATATTTTTGAAGTGAGAAAGCTATCTATTGATTATTAAGTCTGCTGTAATGCTGTAACCCACAGAGACAAAACATTGCTGGGAAACAATAAGAGCTGGAGGGCACCCGGCTTGCACAGAGGAAGAAGGAGGAGTACTGTGCCTTCTGCTGCTATCCGGTTTAAACTGACCACTTAAAAGCAAGGTTTGATACATGCTTTGTTGGAAGGAGTGGTGAAAGAACTCTGCAGAGACTGAAGAAGGTGAAAAACAAGAATAAACCTCTCTAATGTTCAAAGAGCATGAATGTGCTGAAACTGGCATAGTAGATATAACTCAAAAGATTTTCACGATGTCTGAAAGATGATCTATCAATATTTAGTGGTCCAGACAAAACTGAACCAGAATCTTGTTTTCCGAACAATAGTTAATTATGAGAAACTTGTTGGAAAAATTACTTTCTTTTCAGTCACCCCAAATTCGTACATCAGTTTTTTATGCCCCTCCAAACTGGGAAAAAATAGAAATTATATTTTTTCTTATGATTTATGCATGATTATGTAAATTGACATAACATGTTGATACCAAAGCAAATAGTTAAAATTCAGGATTTTGAAGTAACTTCTAGCAAATTTTAAGAGCTATTCAGATCAAAATAAGCATGTGTTCCACCCCAGAAGTTTGTTACTGTGGAGCTGATATTTTTAATAATTTTTAATAATATTTAATATCTATGGTCTTTTTTTTGTTTTTCCTCTCCACTGCTCATTGCGAAATGCACATGATCAATGCCCTGAAATTCCCACTGATGTGAAGTGTGCTGGAGTAGGCTAAATTGCAGAAAAGGGCACTCATAGGAGGTGCACAACGCAGGAGTACAATTGTCTAAACTGCTCCTAATTGCTCAGCAGATAGAGTGAAGCTATCTTTCAATGCACACAAACACATTTTAGCTCTAACACATCTGATCTCTTCTTGCCTCCAGCCTCTGTCAGGGAAATTTGCTAACTATATCCCATGGGAAAAGTCACATGAATTTGACTCAACTCCAGCTCTGACAACTGGGATTCCCTGCAGTCGCAATTGCTGTCGCTCAAGTCCGGCTCTGTGTCTGCCCTGAAGAAAAGATTCACATCTTGCTGGGGAAGTATGAAAATTGCTGACTGATTAAGTCTGAACCTTAAATGGTATCCAGAGAGCTGGTTAGCAATGCAAAGTGAATGATAATGCATACATCAAATCTGTGTGCGGTTGCCCCACAATTGGAGATGGACAGTAAAGAGTAGAGTGGAAATATGGGTTTCCAGTGTCGGAGAATTGGTACTTCCACAGATTAACTGCCTTTTTCTATACCATGTTTTATTTATTTCCCTGTTTAGAAGCACTACAGCAAGTTGTGCTGGTGAAATACCAGGGAGTTCTGTTGGACTAGGCTACAACTAGTCTGTCATTTTCTGTGATGCATTGATGAATGCAAGTCAACTATTATGGTAAAAGGAAAATTAGGGGGAAATCTAATTCACTCCTAGGAGTGGTCCATACAGTAGATTTCAGACAGGTGAATGATTAACTTCATAGAAATTCACTGTACTTCTCTGAAAAACCTCATATTTCATTCTGATGTGGTACTCACCTAGTACTGCCTAACCTGTATTAGTTGGTTATGGTTTTTTAGTTAAATTATAGGTGAGTCCTCAGCATTTCACTGTGTCTACCACATGGCACTTCTATTAACTGTGTTTCAAAATCCAGTTTCTATAATGCGTCGGTTTGTAGATCCTTCCAGACCTCAGTTGTGTAACATCAGCCCTTAAGTGACTCTACAGACTCTCTGTCTGGTGCAGCTGTTTGTTAGGATCGTTGGGATTTCAAATGTCTTTCTGTATTAAAGGGAAGAATTAAAGGGGAAAAAAATAAAAAAATAAAAACCCTTGGCCTAATTAAGAAGAGTGAACTAGATTTAATGATGAACAATTTATTGCCAATTAATAGAGCTCATACATGGTAGCCAGGAGCTAGATAATTTATCATTAAAAGAATCTCCATTACACGTAAAATCCCTTTTCTCCTGATACAGCTAGCAACTGCACTTCACAATTACCATTTTTATAAGACTGATTCACCAGCAAATGAAGCTGTATTTCACAGAGCAGCAGCAAAAGTTGTAGGTGCTGCAAATGCTTAAATATCCAGGTTTACAGTTCTCAGAGTGTATGTACTTCACTCCATGCTTCTGTGCAGTCGTGACCTTGATTCTGAAGTCTTCATGGTTCAGTCACTAATAACTTCTTTATCCTTCTGGGAAGCTCCTTTAAAATGCTTTTAGTTAACACTGTCAATAAAATATATGGTCAGAAAGCAGTCAGTGAACACCCAAGAATGCCCCGGCTGTTTCAGCATGCTGTGCTGACACAAGAGGGAAAACACGGCTCCAAGGATAAAAGTGACGACCTTCAGCAAGCTGGTGGGAGCTGCAATTCAGGGTAGATTATGACCAGAATTAGTTTGATTTCTTGTTATTACCTTTGTGAGTCAGAAACGGAGAAATCTATGCTCTCCATAATGCTTGTCAAGGTTATGCAGATGTATCAGCAGAACTGAGTTCAAGACTGCAAGGATGTCTGTTGGCAGACTTTTTGTTGATTCATCAGATGGCACTATTCCCAATGAGCTGTAGTCATGATGTCCCAGTGTGGTGTTCTGACTTGAGTTCCAGTCTGAATTATTGTATTCATGTTAAGGTTGTTCTGAAAGTAATGCCTCCTATTTATTTCCATGGAAACTACAACAGCTACAGAGAGCATAGTAACACTGTTTGGTAGATCATGTTCTCAGGTACAGAACACTCATTTTTCAACATAGTCACCACCATTAGCTATGCATTTTCTTCAGTGATGTAAAAGAGACTCCATGCCACACTTGTGAAAATCTGGCAGGAATGGATTCTCTGGCTGTGTTCTGTGCATTTATATTCATAAGACAAAATCCGTTCAAGATGGAAAGCCAAAGCATTAACTCACTGTACAGTGTACTGTCCTCATGAACGGAAAATGAAAACATATGAAGCTTGTCTGGGGAAAGAAACAATGAAGGGAGTAGCTTTCTTACCTATCCTTAAACAAGAAGAAGAAAACTAAAGTAATTCCTAGCTGGGAAATCTACAAATCCTTTGGGATTTGTTGAGACTGGGATAGATCTCTCACTGTAAGGCAACTTGCAGCTCCAACACATTTTCCAGCATGGTTTCTCCAGGCATTGTTCCTCTTCCTGAAGGAGGAAATTTTACTCTGTATTTCAGTCACCTAAGTAAAGCAAAGCTAAAAGCTACATTTTGCCTTATATGGCCTTAAGAGGCAATGCTGAGGACAATAGCACAGAAGCTGAGCTTAACACAGTCAAGCAAATTCTGCAAAAGTGACCCAGTGCCATAAAAGAACAGTGGGAACATTTGCAGAAGTATATCAAGAAGGCAGATGGGAGGTGGAAATAGAGTCTCATGTAGATAGAAACAGCCAGCTAAAGAGTGCTTTTCATCCCATCTGATGGAAGGAGTGAAAGATGTCATCAACAGTGTACTTTCTTGGTGCTAGGTATTACTGGGAAGTCAAACTCAGACCCTCCCTTGTGGAGTTCTCCAGGTTGAGAATGTCCACATTCCTTCTTGAACAAAGCAGGGTCCTTCAGATTGCCTTTGTGACCCAATCCAGAGCTCTTTATCTCATAATGCTTGCATTATCAGGGCAGTACAAACAATAGACTTATAAGAAAGATCTTCAGACATCAGAAATGTCATATTTCTATCAGTTTTTTGGCATTTATAAGGAAGTTTACAACAATAAATTGTATTTTTTAAATATTTTCCACCCCAAATATTCAATAGAGAAGAAAAAAAAAAAAAAAAAAAAAAAAACATTTCTTTTCTTCACATAAGACCTCTTTAAAAAATGAATATATCTGTCAACAGAATGCAAGGTGTTTTTCAGAAGGTAAAAATTCTAACTTCCTCTGTTATACAATACTAGCAGAATATGCATGTTAGCAGACTAACATAATCAGAGATAATTAATCTCATCAAGGTAATAATGAGACAAACAGCTGCATTGATCTGTGCAGAGATGACTGATGCAACAAACGAGGTGAACACAGGTCACTCACAAAAACACACAGACAACAGTGGGACAAGAAAATTCAGATCTGGAAATATTATCTGAATCTAAATTTCCAAACAGACTGCATTTTCCCCTTTCCTCTGCATTTAAAGATCTCACTCTTTTAATATATAATTTTACAATAATTTATGAAAATGGAAAGCAGTGTAGAATGCAATCAATCATTCATGCTTCTGAATGAAAACCCAGAAATAGCAATGCTGTTCTGCAACTCTGTCAAGAACTGCTGCTGACATCATGTTCGTCCTGCCATCCTGATGAACTTTTTGCCTCATCAGCAACTAAAATAAGCTCTTACTTCACAAAAGCTTTACATTTAATTGTGGGTTTCAGCCATTTATAGGAAGGGAGGGAGGAAACATATTAGAAGACTATGTTAATTCTTTCCTTTGATCCAGTTCAACATTGTCTTCAATATCAATGGGAAATTATAATGCATAAATAATAATAGACAATTTAAAGAAAAATACTGACAAATAATAAAAAAAAAAAGTGTCTCAAAATAATGTATGTTTCCCTGTAAATAATAATAACAATAATAATAATAATAATAATAATAATAGTTAGAATTAAAATTAGAATTAGAATTAGAATTAAAATAAGAATTTCAAAAAAATACCATTGTTTTCCCAAACTAGAACTATTCTTTTGGGAAAGTTCAATTGTGACTGATATTTTCAATTTGGATATTTTTTTTTTAATTCAAATGAGATCAAAGAGAATTACTGTATATGAAACTAGTTAGCATTATAACAAACAACACGTGATAAAAGCCCCAAAATAAAAATTTCATTTTTTTCCTTTTTTTCACCAGAAAAAAACGAAAATCTTCCATTTTGTTTTAATTCAATTATTTATCTTTTTTTATTTTCCTATTTCCGCTACCATCAAGAAATTGATATTTATTCAGTTTTATGATTAATGAAAAAGTGTGATCCTACTAAGCTCCCCAGAAGAAACCTAACAAAGGAAACAAAATTTTGAAGAACATCTCTAACAGTTTCAGGAAAAGATCTACTGCAGGAGCAAAGAGATGAGTGAATACAAAAGCCACATTAATCCAGTTGATGGCAAGCTGGCATGGACAGGCCACAGCTACGTCTGCCTTTTGCATATGGCAGTGAAACAAATGCTGAGGAAGAGACTTTCCACATGTTCACATTTCTCTATCAAAACCCAGACTGTAAGACTCATGGGCGCCTTACATAACATCATAAAGGGAGAAGATGGCGTAGTGATACCCTTCACGAGCAAAATCTTCTTGAATAGTGGAACAAAGTGCAACCTTACCAAGCACTGCACTGTGAGACAGGTACATCATCTGTCAAGTAAATGAGACAAACCATAATGGCATTTCATGATTTTGAAGAAACAGAGGCTCAGGGCAGACCTTATCGCTCTCTACAACTTGCTGAAAGGAGGTTGTGGTGAAGTGGGAGTTGGTGTCTTCTCCCATGTAACTAGAGATAGGACAAGATGGAATGGTCTCAAGTTGTGCCCAAGGGGGGTCAGGTTGGGTATTTGGGTATTTCTTCTCTTAAAGAGTGGCCAAGACTGCAATGGGCTGCCCAAGGAAGTGGTTGAGTCATTATCCCCAGAGGTGTTCAAGAAAATTTCAGATGCTGTACTGAGGGATAAGGTTTATTGGGAAATATTTGTGATAGGTGGATGGTTAGACTGGATAATCTTGGAGGTTTTTTCCAGCTTCAGTGATTCTATGATTTGCCATGTTAGAGAGGGGTGTAATTTGCTGATAGTCCAAACCTAGGTTGCTTTAAACTTCTCTTAATTCTCTTAAACTTCACATAAGCTCAAAATACCCTCTGTCCAGTGTGAATGCATGGATCCAACCTCAAAATACAGTGAGCTTCTTAAACAATAGGGCTCTGTTTTTTAATATCCTAATAGTTTTAGTATCCTGTCAGTCTGAAGCTAGTGAAGTTTCCTTTGGCAGGGACTTGTTCTGAATCAAGCCCTACATGTGAGGGAAAAAATCAGAGCCTTCACAGTTTGGGAAAAAGCTGTGTGCCTGAGAAGTAAGTGTGCCCACATCTTGAGAAATGCTGTAATCCTTTTGCTAAGATTCAAGATGCTTCATTTCACTTTAGAAAATCTACCACTGGATAAATTTTACTTATATAAACAAAATTTTTTTTGTTTGCATTCCTGCCTATTACTATTGATCCTGTTCATTCACAATTTTCAAATTCTCTTAGTTGAGTAAATTGCTTTCAACAGACTAAATTTTCCTGATATTTTTTCTACTCTATAGAGATTTGGCAGATCAATTTTTCATAAGTTCGGTGTCTTGCCCTAACTGATTTCCAACTCTATATATTAGATTAGTGAACACCAGAAAAAGAAACATTCAAAAAACTCTTTTGTTGATGCACTCAGTTCAGGAGGTTGACAGAATAAAGATGTGATACAAACTTCAAGTCTTACTCTGTCAAAAAAAGCAAATGTAGCTGCTTTTGATGAAAAGTTTCATTATGTGATTGCATAGAAAAAGTGATTATTTTGAGATAATTCTTGAATAAATGAAGCTCTGTCTTCTAAGGAAAGAACAAAATAATTTGGGGAATATTATAGTTTTTATTTGCTTATTTATTTCTAATTAAATATTAGCTCACTAAATCTCAGATCTACATATGTAAATAGAATTAGCAGAAAACTCATTTTTAAATAGATCAGCTTCTTTGTAAATTGTTCAGGCCACAAACCTTTGGGCAGAAACCTCTGAAGTTTTCTAAACTTGTGTCTTAATTTCAGCTGGAATGGAATTGTTTTCTTCAGAGTGTCTGGTATGATGCTATGCTTTGGTTCTAGGAGAAAAATGATGTTGATAACACATTGATATTTATAGTTGCTGCTAAGCAGTGCTGTACAGAGTCAAGGCCATTCTCAGTGAAAGGCCAAAGGAGCTGGGAGTGAAAAGAATTAGGAAAGTTGTCTTAAACTGGCCAAAGGTGTATTCCATACCATATAACATCATGAAAAAAGTGTTTTGAAAGGAATGAGTGTTCAACTTTTTCTCTTCCGCTGCTGGACCCACTTCCACTAGCTGGACATCAGTTGGTGAGTGATGAGCAATTGTTTGTGCATCATTTGCTACATAGATTGATGTGTATATATACCTACATGTATATTATCATAACTATTATTGCTTTCCTTTTCTCTATCTTAGTAAATAGCTATATCTCAACTCTCTAGTTTGATTTTGTTGTTGTTGTTGTTTTTTATCCTCTCCCACATCCCACTGGGAAGGGAAGGAGTAAGCAAATGGCTGTGTGTGGCACAGCCACCTGGCAGATTATACTACAACAACTTCAACGACTTATTTGAAGTCAGTGAGAGAGAGAAGAAGCAAGCAACTGCATTTTAACTGGCAAATTATAGAAAGAAAGAAAAAATCTATTTTTCTGGATTTTGACAGGAAATTTTCTCTATCTCATTTTACATTTTCCAAAGGTGAAAAAAAAAGTAACCTTCCTACTAATTCTAACTATAGTTTTATCTCTCCAGGAGATAAGAAAGATACTGAATGATTTGGAGACAAGAAGGTATATTCCCTTTACTTAAAAAATAAATTGTAACAGAAAAAGGTTCTCTACCACAGAGTAGTGCAACTGAAGCTAGGATCTGAATAGTATAAATTTCTGCCCATGCTTTCTTCTCTAGCACTAACATTAAACATGTGATACACATATGACACAGTGGCCCTGGAGAAAGTGTATCTTGCAGCACTCCATGATCACGGAGAAAATCAGAATGCAATATAGTAAAAGCTATGAAGTGAACAGCCACTAATAGAGCTTGAATACCCACCCCCAGAAGAGAGTTATATTGGAACCAAAGAGATACTGAAGCCATCATATCCTAATGAGCATCTGGTCTGCTTCCTTGATCCTCTTTATGAAAGTCTGGAAATCAAACAGGCTGAGACAATAAAACCCCTTGTTTCATCAGCTTCTGTATAGGAAAGCTGAAACCTTTCAACGTGGAATAGAATAATGAACAGATCAAAGGGTGACCTGTTAGGAGCAGGATAGGGATACAAGACATGTATCATGCGGATGAAGTCTCGCCATGTAAACTTTCACTGCAATGTGGTGTTGTGAACTGGCCTGCTGCATTACATGAGTTTCAGAGGAAGCTTTTGATCTGCATCAACAGTGGCCATCTGTAAAACAAACAAAAAGATTAAAAAATAGAATTATGCTTATTTCTCTATAAAATTCATGCTTGGCAAGCATCTGTTCCTGAACTCACCCAAATTTCTTTGCATAGATCTGCAGAGAGCTGTGAATTAATGTGAATCACAGTATGGCCTGGGTTGAAAAGGACCACAATGATCACCTAGTTTCAACCCCCTGCTATGTGCAGAGTCACCAAGCGCCAGACCAGGCTGCCCAGAGCCACATCCAGCCTGGTCTTGAATGCCTCCAGGGATGGGGCATCCACAGCCTCCTTGGGCAACCTGTTCCAGTGTGTCAGTGTCCTCTGCATGAAAAACTTTCTCCTAATGTTTAAACTGAATCTCCCCTGTCTCAGTTTAAAACCACTCCCCCTTGTCCTATCACTATCCACCCTCATGAACAACCATTCCCCCTCCTGTTTATACACTCCCTTCAAGTACTGGAAGGCCACAATGAAGTCTCCTTGGAGCCTTCTCTTCTCCAAGCTAAACAAGCTTATGAAAGCAGTTATTGTATTTCAACGTTATCTTTTAGTCCTAAGAAGGAATTAAGAGTCACTGACAGTAATGTTGTGTTGCTCTATGGATAGAAGCAGAAGGCTGTGATTCCTAATTTCACCAGTCTTCCAGGAGGTTCACAGACAACACTGGCTAGATGTTGTGCAGTGAAACCTGTACAGCAGGAATGTCTCAGCTGCCAGAGAGGCTGGCACCTCCAGTTTCTTTAACCTTATATTCATTCAAATTGGAAATAACAAAGTGTTGCTTTGGATGCTCAAAATGTTCAGGTCTTGCTTTGGACCTTGTGAATGCTCAGGATGTTCAGGTTATGACTGGATGACTTATAGAATTTCTTCAATATATTGGAATTATCCAATAGAGACTAAAATATTCAGTGCAGTCTGATAGCCTTGTATGAGCATTCTTCTCAATTTTAATACACACTGTCCAATGGAAGAACGGAAAAATAATGCAGTCAGTTCCTGACCTACCCAGTTCCTTGGTCTGCCATTTGAGACTCTAATATCTGGCTCTTTGCAAAATAATCCTAATTCTGGGACTACCATCCACATCTGCTTCGACTAAACTGAAAACCTCTCTAAGAACCGATGAGGCATACACAGTGGATCTAATTAAATTCCTATGCCATTTCCTTTGAAATTGGCAAACTGCAGTTCTTATCTTGTATTCATTCATCCCCAGTGGTGGTGCTGTAATTTTAGCAGGAGTGTACTTAAGCAGTAAGACAGGGCAGCATAACAGCCATGCTGAGATTGAGCCATATATTGAATTGCTAGGTTGAAAACTGAAGACCAGGTACACCAGACAGCTGAGAAGTTGTTGTGTTTTTTTGAAAAATGTTGAAGTGCCTGAAGGAGATTTTAAATTAGCCCTGTGTCAATGCTCTGCAAAGTTGAACTCCTAGAGAAGAATGAAACTGTATAGCATGATATTAAGATATGTCATACCAGCGTGAGAATCTGAATACAGGAGGCTACCCTGACTGTTAGCAAAGGTACATTCAGTCCATCACCTACACTCCATCAGTGACAGGAGTTATGTACAGGCATATAATAAGTAGATGTTTACATAGCTTCCTCCGTCTGCCCACAGCTTCAACGGGTTGTGGTTCAGTGACTTCCCGATTGAAATATCATGTCTTTGTGACCAATGATACTGGTTTTAAAGGACCTTACAATGCGTGTGTATAATAAACACGCTCTAAAGTATCTGTTTTAGACAAAGAGATCATTGACATTACAAGAGAAATCAGGTTTAATTATATTTTTTGTCTATGAAAAGAGCAAAGAACCCCATGCTCACTTTTCCTCTAGAGATCATGAGAATTTCATAGTGCTGACTATGCACTGTGAGTATATCACTAATTGATAATCATATCATCATAAACAAATTGTTTATTTTTAATGAACTCAATATCCTAGAGCCAGCAGATGTATCTGTGTAATTTTATTTTTCTTTTTCAAGAGGAAAGGGCAAAAATAGGGCAAAAATTGTAATTTTGCTCTGCAAAATACAACTCAGGATGAGTCTTTTGCTTTCTTCCCCAAGTAAACAGATGTGAACACAGCCAATTTTTCTAACACCAGAAGCATAGCCATGGCTGTTCTTTTATCTATTGCTCATGAATCCAGGCGCCTCTTGAGGACAACCTGCTACTATTGATTGTCTTGCTTTGGATTATTTGTTTTACAATTCTATCGGGTAATTTTGCAGTGATCTGTATAAAACTGTGAGCTGCTTTTTTATAATCTCAAGAGGCCACAGATTGAAATTTATTAAATACCATTCATAAGCAGCTGTCACCTGTTTTGAATGCTCTTAGAGCATCACTAAAGTAACCAGTAAATTATCTAACCATGTGTATAAATGTATAACCTGTAAAGCAAACACTGTATAATAAGGATTCATATATATATATTTCTGCATAAATTCACATGGCAGCCAACAACTAGGAAATCAGTTTAAGAGAAAAGACCTACACCATAAAATTTCTAGGGCTGGCAAGCCTGAAATTTTCAATTTTGCAGTTCTTGTTCAAGTCACTTCAAAATTTCTGCTTCAGTTTCATGCTCTGTAAAATGAACCTTGCAAGAATATTCTATGGATTCTTTATTTTATATGTATTAGGCTCTGAAACCCCAATTCTGGCTAGTTAAGCATTATTAAGTGTGCATAAATATATTTGCCTCTGAAAATATTAGTAAGTACCCTCGAATATTCTAACAGAATAAAGAAAACTTCCCCTGCTATTTTGCCTGGAATACTATTTTGTCTATGCTTAGAGGGTCTTTCTATAAGCTTTCTATAAGCTAGACCACAAGTTCTTGAAGTTTTGAGAGTCTTACTCTGCTTTCAGTAAATTCAATGATTGATTTCACTGTGAACACACTGCTGAGCATTTTTGAGAATTCAGCTTTGGAAAATAGAATCTAATTGAAATCCTTATAAGGAGAAAATAACAACTGTGCAGTCATGCAGCCATCTCACATAAGTTACACATAACATCGTGTACATCACATTACATGACATCGGTTGTTATTGTTTGCAGCATCATGTGGAATCCCACTGCAAGGAGATATTTGCCAGCAGCCTTTGCTTTGTGTCAGCCATGTTTGAGGTATTCTACATACCTTCTGCTATGGAGGATTTGCATACACATAAGGAATCCAACTCATTGTGACTGGTTTCAACAGTCTGACTCTATGCAGCCAAATTTGGTGAACTTAGTATTAAATGCCTTAAAAGCAAATGAGCTACAATGATGTAAGCTGTTAATGATTAAAAATAGTTATATAATTAGCCTCAGTTTTCACAAAATGCATGCAAACTACATGCAGATCTCAGTGTTTTAGATAACACCTTACCTAGAGAGAGACAAAATAATGCAGAACTTGTAAAGGGCTCTGTTCTTTTAATAAGAATGTTGTTGAGTACTGAAATATTCTTGGTGTGTTATTCTACTTCTGGCAGAAAAACACAGTTTCTTGGCTGGATTCCCAAACATTAAGTTAGAAAACACTTGACATTGTGTGTGACTGGACTCAATTTCAGCACAGTATAAAAGTATTCAAGGACTTATTTTTAGGTTTGCCATATTAATAAAGCAACAACATTTCAAGTATGAACAGCAATATCTGTCCCATCTAGAAAGGCTTCTGTATCAATTACTAGACTGCATAGAGAAGGTTTTGCCTAGTTCCGTTAAACCTCAATTTCAATAAATAAGTTGAGTAATTATTAATTAAACTACTTGGCACAGCTTCAAAAGGTCAAACACTGACCAAGCTCTGAGCTTCCAGGAGTAGAGTTTAAACGTCAGAATAATTATAAAAGCTTCCAATATCCAATCTATTAAAAATATATTAAATAAATATTATACAAAAGGACAGAAGGAGCTCCCAATAATTACTACTGTAGTTTTGTTCTGGTTGATCTCTCCCTCTTTGTCACTCACTACCCTCAGACACTTCTAGTAATTTTACCAAGCAGTATCAGAAAACTTCATCAATCCAGATGTACTGCAACACAGAAAGAAATGAGGAGGCAAAGGCTGGAAAAGAACTGGTGAAGTTTACACTCATATGGGACTGGAACTAGTGCAGAAGCATCTGTGAGGGCCTGGAACTCTGAAGATTCTCCATGATACTCAATAACAGCCTCATGGGGCAACTCAGCAAAGTGGCTTCTAGCGCTCCTTCACTGGGGGGTGGGGGGAGGGGGGGTTGGAGGTATCTGGTGCGTGTCTTGGATCATGAGGAAAGCAGGATTAGACCTAGGAATGCTGTTAAGAGGTCTCTTCTGGAGACTATGAAGAAAAAAATTCCTAGAGCAGATACCATTGTTGCAGATTTTTCCAAACTTTTTGTTGTAACATTGACAAGGCACCTTTCTCCCACGCTTTTTGAAGACTTCTCCCCTCCACCCCCTAACCCTCCCCCCAAAAAAAAGAAATCAAGTAACTCTTGTTTCTTTATAGGTGCCTCAACTAAAACACAATTTTTTCTTTAGCAGTGTTGATAGGCAATTTCCCCATCTCTGTAGAAATGAACATCTATGGCCACAAAATACATACAGTTCCTAGAGATGTTGCCAAAAGTCAAAAGTGCTCAGCATCTCCCAGGAAAGCTTAATGCCACTGAATCCTTCTTTTCATGTCAATTATGCCTTAATTCACCGTGCACTAATTTAAAGTATAAATATCTTTGAGCTCCGATTTCTAATCATGTAAATGAATCAGTGTCCTGGGGAATGCAGTATTCCTTCTTTTCACTTGCACTTTTACACTGTATATCTATTATTTTACCCAAAATGGTTATAATGTTAATAGAGGCAAAACATGAAATATTGAATCAGAACAAACAATGTATGTCCCTTGCTCTGAGGGTGAGAAATATTTTTCTTAGATATATTACAACATACTTCTCTGTTTTATGCAGTCACTTTGAAATAATTTCTTCCAAACAAAATCAATTTCCAATCTCTGCCACTGTCTCCTAGTTACATCCTAGTTTAATGGAGCTTGGGATGCTGATATCCTATGGACATTTATGACCTTCCACCCCACTTCAGTGCTATGTATTGTGTTCCTAAAAATTTAAGATTGCATGAGGAGAGCATTTATTTTTCATTCAAGGCTTTGTAGCCGCAGAGAATTATTCTGACAGTATATCAATTTAAATAAACAAACAAACACACACACACAAAAATTCTTCCAAAGAAAAGAAGCTTGTATGTGTGTGCCTGTTCACAAGGAATATCTGGGAAGGGAGGACTCCAATGAGCCTCCTGCACGCAGCTATGTCATTTACTGTCCAAACATGAGGTCTGCATCCTATTGCTTCATACGCATCTCTGCCCTTCTCTGAAAGGATTTATGGATGTGTCCTATTGTTTCCTTTGCTCCAGAAGAACAATGATGCTGGTTTTCAGATGTTTGGAGGAAATGCTGCATGCATGGCATCCAAGACCTCTGGGGATCTGACGCACATTTGTTTTAATATTGGTAGTGTGTTCCCCATTATCTTAGTCACTCTGCAAAAAAAGGAAAAACTTGTTCCACAGCTTTCAGGGATAACGTAAATCTCACATCTCCACAGAATATCACTGGTTTAGAAGTTGGACTTTAAGGGAGGAGGAAACAGCAGGTCAGGTTGTGGAGAAGAAAATATACCCTGATGCTGACTGGCAGGTCCCTCCAGCTACAAAGCTCCTGCAAGAACCACCACATCCACCTCCTGAACTATGCAAAGGCAAAATAGTAGCACTCGTATTGCTGAAATTATGTAGGTGTTTATCCACTGGGGAAAAGAAATATTAAAAAATGGAGAATTGTGCCTGTAGCCGTCTGCCCTTGGCTGAAGGTGTGCGTGTCCACGCAGAGCACTGCTGCTGCAGCAGCTGGGCTGCAGCATCCACCTCACACTGGAGTAACACTTCATTAAAAACATGGAAAATGCTCAAAATATTTCCATACCTCACAGCCTGTATCTGGTAAATTGATTAGAAAATTAAATGATCTGTTTTTTTCAGGTTTTGGTGGTGGGTTTTTTGGTGTTTTTTGTTTGTTTGTTGTTTGTTTGTTTTGGGTTGTTTGGGTTTTTGTTTTGTTTTGTTTTGTTTTTTGTTTTTTTGGTGTGTTTTTTTTTTTTTAATTCAGCATCCATCATAAAGTGTGCAAGATCCATTTAAGTGATGTTCAGATCACAATTTTGGCACACCAAGCACAATTAAGTGTGATAGTCCTGAACAGTGGTAGTGCTGCATGTTATAACCTGCATTCAAACAGATAGGAGAGAAAAATGTGGCTCATGTCTTCATTTTTTAAAGATATGCACAACATCATATTACACATCAAGCAGCAACAGGAACCATGTGAGGGCATGAAATCCCAATCATTGCTGCAGTCCATAGGATAGATGTTCCCCTCTAATGAGCTGCTACTTAACACCAGCTGAGAATACAGGGTTAAATGTCAATATACTGATATTTCATCCTGACTGAAATAATAACCTCCAGTCTGTAACAAAGTCCCCATCAGTGCTAATGGAGCCACTCGTCCTCACCAGCAGCATGCTGAGGACAAGGGGCCTCTGCTCCAATTTCTCCCAACACAGCTGTTCTTAGAGCCATTTAAAATCTTATTTTCAATGTGGCAAGCTGGCCGGCCTAAATTAATTCATTCACGCAGTATTCACCGACTACTTAAAAAATAGTTCAGAAGAACTTTTGGAAATATTTTTGTTTGCAATTTTCTCTAAATAAGACCAAAATGAACTACATCCTTAGCTCACTGTCAAGGGCTAAAGAAAGCAATTGTGAAAGGGATGGATCTCTTAAAATGACTAAATCAAAAGTGACTTTAATATGCAGTTCAGCTTGCCAAACAGAGTGTAGCTGATCTTTCCAATTTAAATCAGAAAGTCTTTTCTTGGTTATTGCTGAGATCTGCACATAAAAGACGCGCCATTTTCTGGGGGAATGGAGATACATGTACAGAAAGGTTGCAATAATCGAAAACTAAAGTCTCCCACTTCTAAAAGCAAAAAGTTATGACATCAGCCCATGATGTCCCCATTGCTCAGTCCGTGGTGATCGTGAGGGTTAACAGCATTGCAATACTTATGCAATCTCAGCCTCATGACCACAAACAGACTATGACCCGAACACAGTGGGAGTGCCTCCAGCCGTGCACAATCACACTGCGACACTCAACTGACTCGGGGGCAAGGCAGCGCAGGATGCGCCCCATACCTCACATGCTATTTATGATGTATCTGCGTTGCATACAAATTGGCACTAGTATGAGGAAATATGAATATCTCAGCATCCTTCAGTGCCAAATACAGACATGATGCAACATAGTCATTTTCTCAATTCAACGTAACATACAATATGCCACTCTCCATTATGCTACAGCAACTGAAATGTGCTGCAGGCCAATGGAAAATATCCCTAAAAATAGCTATGCTGTTTCTGGGCAAAAGGAGAAGTATTCGACATTTCCTTGAAAATGTTCCCACCTGGATTTGCTGGAACAGCAACATGATCGTTCAGTGACAGGAAGCTCTCTGGTAAGGAGCTTTTTCCTCAATATTACCCTGCTTTCCTGAAAGCACTGCAAACAGGGCTCATAGCAGTTCTTTAAAATACTGTACATGAAAGCTTTACTAAACTGTTTAAGTGCTCCATTGTGAAGCACTGTATTAGGAGCTTTCTGCTGCTCAAGCAACTTTAGATTGTAATGTATTATAATAGTGTGCTATTCTCCTAGAGATCATTTTATAAATGCAACACAAAAGATTGTCACATGATAATCTTCTAAATCATATCAAGGAAAATAAACACCCACTGCAGAGGGACTTGCTTATTTTGCTAAGACATTTTACAGCATATTAGCATAAAAATACTACTTCAGCCCTTCAGGTTCACCCACAGGACTGCTTAAGAGCATTAGATGTGATATAAATACAAATGATTTTGGCAGCATGATACTTTTTTAATGCAGATTTGCAAATTTTATACGTTCCTATTCAGCTCTGTCATACAATCTGTGCAAATTACGGAATTTTGCCTAACTGAAAGAGCAGCAATGGGGGAGAAAGGTCCAGTCAGTTCTTCCATTTCATATACATGATATTGGCATACCATCTCCAGTCACTGAAGCCACAGAGTTTTTACTGCTGAGTCTTCTGTCCTCTAACACCGCTGGAGGTCCATGTGTAGATGTTGTCCAGCTTGATAGATGGATCTGCACAAGACTACAGGGTTCCAGCTCTCCCTTTTGCCTGCTATTGCATGGATTTATTCCATATAGAATCAAAGAACCATAGAATTGTTTGGGTTAGAAGGAATCTTTAAGATCATCTAGTTACAACACCCCTGATGTAGACAGGGATACCTCCCCCTCAACCAGGTGACTCAAAGCCCCAACCAGCCTGGACTTGAATGCTTCCAGGCAAGAGGCATCCACAACCTCACTAGGCAGCCTTTCTCCTTCCTTTCTTTGTAAATGACATTGCAATTCTTCTATCAGAGCTATACTTCCTATCACACAGTCAGGAACCTGCTGCACAAAGAGATATGTCCTTCATAGAAACCAGGAGCAGGAGCGGAGCTACAATCCAAACTGCCTGCACGTTAAACATTAGCCTATTCTGGTGCTCATCCTCCTCAGTGGCACTGCCCTCTGTCCTTTCCTTCAGGAGAGAGCCTCTCTGCCATGAAAACCTATTCAGGTTCTTCAGTAGCCACTTGGGTGGAGCAATTGGAGCAGTCTGTTCACAAAGAGCCTTTCCTGAACAGGACTCTGAGTGTAGTCTGGATTGATGTGGTGAGCTACAAACAGTAAAGATCCTTGTTTTTCAGGCAGTCTCCTTCAGGTTCAGATAGCTTCACTACAGAACGTAAAAGACTCTCATGAGATTAACGCTAAGAATTTCCATTTTTTATGGTATTTTTAGATTATATTTCATTTTCCAGGCTGCAGTTGGCTTGAACCAGAGCCACAATGCTTGTGACACTCCAAACACAAAAAGGAATTACACAATGTGACAATTCTTAAAATTGTCCTGTTTCTTGTTGTATAACAAATTCCCAGTGTTGTAGATTAAACTAGAGAGAACAGGAACCATAACATGGAGATTATGCAGCATTTCACTTTGTTTTTTGACAAAAAGTTAATGCCTGCTTTGTTCTAGTCAGTAAGTATCAAAGATACTTTACAACTGCATAGCACACAGCTTAGCTGATTGGAAACTACAGGAAGTATAAATCAAAGACGTTACTGCACATTTTAGTGAAAGCTAATTACAAAAGTGTGGGGCACTTCTCCCCTCATATGCTCACAATGACAGACAAAATCCCTGCTAACTTACCAGTTTCCTTCTCTTCCTCCTGATAGCTCACCCTAGGAAACCTGCCCATATACCTCAAACCAAACCTCCAAAAATCTTTGCTATAAGCACATTTTCTCTGCTGGTTCCTCAAAACGACACCTTGTCCAAGTTCCTACGTGTGTTTTATACTCAGAGTTCTGTTAACAAGAAATTGGATCAAGAGCTGGAAATCACACTTTTCCTTATTACAAAACCAGTCATTTCTGTTTAACAGACAGAATTGTAAGTGGGCATGAAAGCTGAAAGAGAAGGAAAAGAGACCAGGTACATCTAGCAAGGGCTTTTGGATTTTTGCTGGAATTCACTTTAAAGCTATTGACTTTAGACAATAGCTGAAAAGTGAAAGCTCAGGTAGACGCCCAGCCCTGCCATGAGGACCTCCAAGTTGCATATATGTGAGTGCATTAATCTGCCCACTGAGACTCCAGCCAGCAGCCCGGTGGGTGCCTGCATAAATCAAGAATTAAACAAATCACAGTAAATTTTGTATTGAGTGAATGTGGGCACATTGCCTACTGTCTTAGACCACTGGATCTTTGGGGAAAGGGCCCTTCTTTTTCTCTTTCATGGTCATTTTTGTTCAAGCAAGTCTCTAGCTTGGGTACAATAGCTTTGATAACAAAAATAATATGGCTCACCTCTTGCCAAAAGTACCTAGGTTCTGTCTTATATTAGTGAAATGAAGTGAAGAACAATAAAAAGTGACTTCAGTAAGCTGGTCTTAACCAGGAATATTTTGCGTACATCTGCTGGCAAGGAATGGGCAGGGACTGAGTAAGCAGAATCCCTTGAGCTCATTTACATAGGAAAACAACTTTTATGAGCTTTCAAACAATTTTTTTCCAATGTCTAGGAAAGTTGAGGCTGAGGTGAAACAAGCTAGAAGAATACAGGTAGTTTTTTTGTTTTGTTTTCAAAGTCTTACATTCTGTCACATATGTATGCACTTTCTTTAGGCAGCTGACTTCCCTCACCCTCTTTAAAGGCAATCCCTGTGGAGGAAATTCCTTAGGCAGAAATATCTGGCCTCGTGGCAAATGCCAGAGGAGAGCTTGAGCAGCATTGGGGTTGGTCTGACCTGTGGTTAGGCTGTTGATGGGCTGTCTGGGACAGAGCTGGCCACCCATCTCGTTCTGGATCTGCGTGCTCATTTTGTGGGTGCCTCACCGCCCATGTGTCTTTGAAGGCTTGTTTGATTTCCGCTGCCCTCCTATTGAGCTGATCTCTGAAGTGCAAAGGCAGCTCTACCTCACATGTCCAGCGTGTGGGGATAGAAAAGCAAATAGAGGAGTGGGAGGGAAACGAACAGCTTTAAGCTTTGAGGTGTCAACACAAAGTGGCCAACCAGAGGAAAAGGAACTGCACAGAGGAAGAGAAAATATAAAACCTCCAAGGCAGACGGTCACTGTCAGCGATATTTTGGCTTCTGAGAGTCTGCATTTAAGTGTTTGTTTTCGGAAAAATCACTCAAGTGCTTCTTCCACACAGAGTTATGTTGTATTTCCCTGTAGGCAAGATTGGTATTTGCAGCCTCCATGGGATAACGAGGTTCTGATTGTTTTATTCTGTGGGATCCTCTCAAAGCTCTATTGTTTATGTAACATCACATATTTAATATATCATTTTAATAACATAAAAAATTATGCAAGCAATTACATCTCCAGAACATTGATAGAGTAAGAAAATATGCATTATTTGATGGAAATGCTCATTGATATATCTGTGTTGAGTGCAGCCTCAGTAAGTTTGCAGACAACACCAAGTTGGGAGGGAGAGTTGATGTGCCTGAGGAAAGAAGGGTAGTACAGAGGGACCTGGATAAACTGGATCAATGGGCCAAGGTTAACTGTATAAGTTTCAATAGGACCAAGTGTCGGGTCCTGAATTTTGGTCGCAACAACCCCAGGCAACCCTACAGGCTTGGGGAGGAACAGCTGGAAAGCTGCCTGATAGAAAGGGATCTTGTTGCACTGATGGACAGTTGGCTGCATGTGCCCACGTGGCCAAGGAGGCCAAAGGCATCCTGGCTTGTATCAGGAATGGTGTGGTGAGCAGGACTAGGGAAGTCATCCTGCCCCTTGGCACTGGTGAGGCCACACCTCGAGTACTGTGTTCAGTTTTGGGCACCTCAGTACAGAAAGGACATGGAGATGCTGGAGCAGGTCCAAAGAAGAGCAACAAGGCTTGTGAAGGGCTCGGAGAATATGCCCTGAAGGAACTAGGGCTGTTTAATCTGAGGAAAAGGAGGCTGAGGGGAGACCTTATTGCTCTCTTCCAATATCTGAAAAGTGATTGCAGAGAGAGCAGGGTTGGTCTCTTTCCACCAGTGACTGGTGACAGGACAGGGGGAAATGGCCTCCAGTTGTACCAGGGTAAGTTTAGAATGCATATCAGCAAACACTTCTTTACAGAAAGGGTGGTTAAGCACTGGCATAGGCTCCCCAAGGAGGTGGTTGAGTCACCATTCCTGGATATGTTTAAAAACCATTTGGACGTGGTGCTCAGGGATATGATTTAGCATAGGGTTGTTAGAGTTTGGGTAGTATGGTTAGGTCATGGTTGGACTCGATGACCTTTAAGGTCTTTTCCAACCTAAGTGATTCTATGATTCTATGATTCTTTTTTTTGCTGTTATTCCTTTTATAAGTCCATCTACATTCTTACTTCCTAACAAGACTTTAAAAAACAAATATTGAGGGTATATTTTGAAAATACTTAATTTCATTTGGTGTAAGTTACTGAGTTTACTCAGAATTGTGTCAACCTGCATAAAAGGAGGATGTGTAGATGTGATGTCTGCCAACTGCAGTAAGAGTGAACCAGTGGTTGCTGTATTATACTGTCCAAGTTTCCTTATATCTGATTTCATTCTCTAAATGCTGAGAAATATGTCTGTTTTTCAAGAAGTTCTGGATGCTGGGATTTCTAGATGTCTGGCAGATCAATAAGAACAGGTCCGTACCAATAGCTCAAGCAGGATTACTGGACACAGATATTCAGAATTTGCAAACAAATGCTGTAGCTGTGCTGTGAATGTAGCCATGGATTAGACACTTTTAAACAGAAACACATGCAGTGTCTGCAGCACTTCCAGGTAGCCTGGGACTCACTGCATTTAGCATGCGCACTGAAAGACAGCCAGGCATGCCGACATGCCAAGATCTTATACCTACACAACAGTCTCTACAGAGGTGGACAAGCTGACAATTTTTCTCTCAGTTTTGACTGCAGGAAAAAGAAGAGTCCTTGATAAAGGTTTGGCGTGCAATACAATCAGAAAGAGCTCAAGAGGTAGCTCTTTCACTAGCCTGAAATATCTCATCTCAGACATCTTGTATTATCTCCTCTCCCATGAATTGGACAGAGCACCATGCATGTGCAGTTTTGGAGTCCAGGAAAATTCTTGCTACACGGAGCAGAGTGTGTACAAGTTTCTACACTACTAATTCCATAATCTCAAGAACATACATATGTTATAGTTAAAACAGACCTTGTAATTGGGCATTCAGTTGGGTTTCTTTCTACACAGATGCTGCACTTACCTGGGTGCAGCAATTTTGTGATCTTCTGTTGCATCAAGAAATCTCAGGGGAATATAATGTAGAAGATAGAATAAAATTGGTGTTATATAGTTGCAGAATGACACAGATGGTGCTATTCCTATGGGCACATATGAACACCTTCCTTTTAGAGTGACCTTTGAGAGTTTCATAGGAAAGCTTCCAAAGTCTTCTTCCAAAATAGATATAACAATATACAGAACTTTGAACAGAAAATTCCAAGCATGTATGCCTATTGCACTCCAGTCAAAATATAGGTTATTTTGTGTATTGTGTAACGCAGGGAAATTTCCTCAAGTAAAGAGTAAGTTTTTGCTGCTTATTAGAACCTTCAGATAGTCCCTAAATGTAGACTATTTCCTGTGCATTGCAAGATTTCTGTGGCTAGTTTACCTGCAAAAGTTTTGGATAACAGAATAGGTTAGTTTGCATAAGCAAAGTGTTAACCTAGAACTTGCTGACACTGTCTTATGATTTATTTAGCACCCCCAGCCGTTAGCTGATTCACAAATTTCAACCAAGAAAAACATGAAATTACCCTTGCTGAGACAACCAAAGTACTACATAAACTGACTACTGTGTCTGCGAAGGCTATGCAAACATCTTGGTTTGTGAAAACACAATTGAATGAAAATTAAAT